TTTTGACAATCTCTAAGCTGAGCTGTGCCTCTTGTGCAGGTGTCCACAGCATCCGTGGTTGCAGTCAGCAGCTGCGGTGTTACCGCAGTGAGTGTGTGCAGGGGAAGCCCTGGGCTCGGTAGCCTCATGGCTCCATACATGGATGAGTTTTGTAGGGGCTGAGTGTACGGGTTGGGTTTGTATGGTGAGGTTTTGGTTGTGTGTGTGTAGCTACAGGGGCAGAAGCTGCTAGAAGCTTTTCCTGTGTTCGACAGAGCCAATGACAACCAGCTCCAATAGGGGCCTGCTGGTGGTCAAGGCCAAGCCCATCAGCGATGGTGGCAGCAGCTTTGGATAACGTAGTTAAGAAGAGGAAAAAGCTGCTGTGGAAACAGCAGCGGGGAGAGGAGTGAGAATGGGAGAAGCAACTGTGGAGACACCAAAGTCATTGAAGAAGGAGGGGAGGCACAGGAGCAGAGGTTCCCCTGCACCCCAGGGATGACAGGCTGTGCCCCTGCAGCCCACGGGGGACCCCACAGCAGAGCAGGTGGATGCACAAAGGAGGCTGTGACCCTGTGGAGAAGCCACGCTGGAGCAGGGTCCTGGCAGGACCTGTGGAGAGAGGAGCCCAGCCTGGAGCAGGTTTGCTGGCTTGTGGCCCCTGGGGACCCTCGCTGGAGCAGGCTGTTCCTGAAGGACTGCACCCCACGGAAGGGACCCACACTGGAGCAGTTTGTGAAGAGCTGCAGCCCGTGGGCAGGACTCACGTTGGAGAGGTCTGTGGAGGGCTGTGTTCAGTGGGGGGGATGTGTGATGAACTGACCACAGCTCCCATTCCTTGTCCTCCTGTGCTGCTGCAGGGGAGGAGGTAAAGAAATCAGGAAGAAGGCTGAGCCTGGGAAGAAGGGATGGGTGAGGAAAGGTAGTTTTAAGATTTTTTTAAAATTATTCCTCATTATCCTACTCTGATTTTATTAGTAATAAGTTAAATTTTCCCCAGATGTGTTTGCCCATGATGGCAATTGGTGAGTGATCTCTCCCTGTCCTTATCTTCACCCACGAGCCTTTTGTTGTATTTTCTCTCCCCTCTCCAGCTGAGAAGGGGAGTGATGGAGCGGCTTTGGTGGGCACCTTGGTGGGTCAACCCACCACGATGTGTTACCCAGAGGGTTACAAGAGTTTCCATCCTGGTGCTGTACAGACCAAGGGTTTTATATCCTGGTTAAAATGTGACTGCTCTGCCTGTGTTGCTGCGATCCTCAGAAGCTTAGGGCTCCTATTGTGCTGTTAGGTGTGTCAACATCAGCGGGTTCTGAGAGCAGATAATGTGGGGAGGGTGCTCGTGAAGCAGCTCCCCAAAGGGATGGGGGAGGCACTTGCTAACGAGGTTGAAGTTAAGCAGAAGATGCAGCTTGGTGCTGCAGGCTGTGGAGGCTGCTGATGTTGGTTTATCCATCAGTCGCGTGCGTTAACGTGAACGACTCTGGAGTTAACGGCGCTGCGCTGATGGATGTGCGGTGGAACTAAAACTTGGTTTGTATAACTGAGGGCGTTAATCATAAACCTTGCCGTGGTCACAGCACGCTGCAAGTCATCACCAGCGCCACAGGAACACGAGGATTTCTGTTGGAGGTATCGGCATCGGCAATAAGAGGTGTGAGGGCCTGGCCTTGTTTAGGTGCTGTTGTCCTCGTGTGTTACTGAAAATGGCGTGGGACGATGAGCGAGGCCAGCAGCGTCCTTGGCCTTCCTTGAAAGAGGCACAAGTCAACGCGTGGGGCTTCTATAGGTCCCATAAATTCAACGAAAGGTTCTTCTGTCAAGTGTCTTCTGAGATTTTTCAGATGGGTCCTTGTTCTTGCACAGGCCTCCTTTCATCCAGAGCCGCGTAACGGGATGCACGCGCTCAGGGACCCCCCTGCAGCCTTTTGGTTTTTTGAAGTGTTTATCACATGTCTCCGAGTGGTGCGGTGTATGATGCAGGGCGTAGCATGAGCTGAAAATCTTTGGCCAAAGTCCTGCCACAAAAAAAAGGAGCTGCTCACGTAGATACGGGAATATTGCTCCATCGCTTCGGTGAGCGAGTCCTGAATCTGCCTTTTGTTGGGTGTCACAGGAGGTCGCGTTCCTCCCAGCTTGGGCTCTTTGTGCTCGGATGAGTGGCATCACCTATTACTCACTGTAGAGCGGTTTTACCCTGTGTCCTGATGCAGAAATAGCAATATATTTTAGGGAACGCAGAATATTCGCCATAGCCCCATCGCCGTGCAGCTCACTTCAGGTTTTTGGTACCTTGAGGCCCCTGTGAGGCACCCAGAGATGGGTTTGTGCAGGGCTGAACCCACTGCCATGACTGGGCTGCCTTGGTGGTGCGCTGGGCGAGTTGTGGTATGGCCGTGGATATCGCTTTTGGTGCCTGTTCCAGGTTTGTACCCCACGTGCTTGGAGTTTCGCGGTGTGATCCGACGTTAAATGTAACGGAGTCGTTTCTGATGCCGCTTGTAGTAAACTCGTCGAATAAATGTTGATCGCAGGGAGGCTGCGTGTGAGAAGAGATGAAAGGTGTTTTAAAGAAGTGGTATTTCTATGTCCATTCCAGGCTTCAGTGATCCAGCTAAGCGGCTGTATTTCAATCGTTTTGTGCATTAAGTGCCCACAGATACAGAGGCCGCCCAGAACGAGGAGAGGCTGCAATCTGCCTCTTTTCTTCTCAAAAGCCTGTGCAGAGACGGCTCTGCAGCCTGTACAATGCCTTCTGAATCGCTTTTTTCATGCTCGGTAGCTGAAGAGCAAGCCTGAATTCCCATTGAAGTTTCAATAGATGTAAGCAGATCAAAGAAATTCTTTATGTTGTAGATGAAGGCTTAAATGTGTTGGTTTTTGGCTTTTGCGGATTTTTCTTTTGCGAGCTGCCAGCCAGGCGCTGCCCTTCGGTCACTTGATGTGGCCGCTTTGCTGTGGCTGTGGGTCTGGAGAGGCTGAGCTGCAAGGAGCAGTTTTGAGGAGCCACACTTGACCGAGCGGTGTCTCCCTTGGCCTCCTCCAACCCGGTGGTTTCTGGGGGTCAGCGCCCTGTGCTGTGTGGGGCAGAGGAGCAGGTTGGGGCTTGTTGAGGCATGGAAAGGGCTTCCCTGCAGTGCTGTGTGGCTGGAAGGACTCCTGCAATGAGGGAAACTCCAGCGGCCCTATTTCCAGACTGCAGATGTGAAGGAAAGGTGAATCTTACGTGAGATGTTAGGGAAGCCTTAACCTGGGTCTGAGACACAAACTACGAGTGGTGTTCCTCCCAATTTGAATGATTTGGATTAAAATAGAGGAGTGGAGTGCTGTCAGGATGAGGGCTAGAGTAGCTGGTGTATGGTGTCTTTAACTGGGCTGGGAGTGTTGAAGAATATCGTGGTGTACGAGAGGATCTTGTTTTCTTGGGGCCTGAGATACTGAAACAATTGGATGTGCCAGGACATGACTCATTCCAGGAATTTTAATGGCTCTGGTGAAACAGGACCTTCCCCTACCAAATCCCTGCTGCTGCTTCTGCTCTCTATTGTGTGAGTCTGTCTTTAATCTGTCATTCTTGTCACTTTGCCTGATACCAGGACGGTCGTGCTGGTTTACAGCTTTCAGATTTGGCAGCTCTTTTGGGGCTGGTGTCTCCATTGCTGTTTCGTTCTTGGGTGCCATCTGCCCTCGGATCTGGGAACGGTGGAACAGTGGTGGTTTTGTACTCGTGGGGCTTGTGCTGGAGTGCAGCAGATGGGGCATTTGTTTGTATCCCGGGTTTTTGTGCCACCAGAGTTGTTCTGTTGCTATGCATAAGGTAACACAAAGCTTCTTAGGCTTCAGCTTAGATGACTGAGCGTGGGAGAAGCTGTATTTAGGACTTGTAAGAGAGTACAGAAGCTAAATTCAGTGCTGGGACTGAATTGATGTAGTAAGGCGAGTGCAAGGAGTTGCAGCATCATGGACTAAATTCAAAGGGCCCGGTCTGTGGGATGTTACAACTGGTGCTTCAGATGGAGGACGGGTGAGGAGGATGATTGCAGGGAGTCCTGGCTGCGCTGCAGAAGATGCAGATGTTGAGTAATTCCCTTTTGCAGCTTCAGTGTTGTTCTTAAAATTAGTTAAGAGTATCTGGCAAACTGCACCTATTTAGTTCAAGTATATGGGTTAGGAGAGATGTGTGCTGTTGGCGTTATCAAACGTGCTGTTGGTGTTGTCAAGGGAGTGAAGCCATTTCTCACTGTGTTTTACGCTGCCAGCAGCCAGAAGGTTCACGGAGCAAAGAGCATCTTCCCTTGGCCTCATCTCTGCCCAGGCTGGAGAAGCACAGCGGTTCCTGTAGATGCTGTCGTTGTATTTCCATCGTAGGGAATTGCTGGCAGGAGCTGTTAGTTCTGCTACCATGTCTCAGCAAATGCGGTCTTGTCATCTGCTTCATGCAGGGAAGCAGTTTTGCAAGAATGCCTTTCCTTGAGGCTGGAAAGGAGGTTTTACTGCCTTAACGTCGGTCAGCGAGCTTGTGCGGTGACACACTGGGGGTTTGGGAGATGATGGTGTTTGACGTTTTTAAGTGTGTGGGTGGAACCGTCACCAATTCGTAGTTGATTGTATTTGTTTCGGGTTCGTGACAGGAACGTCCTGTATGGCCAAGCCATCAAAGCTTGGGAAGAGTTTTAGCCCCAGTGACCTCCTGGGCCTGCTTGAACTCTGTGGCAAAGCAAAGCACTGCTCCAACCCAAGGCAGAATTGGCCCTTTCGTTGTTTCAGCCTTGACAGCTCTCGACTTTTAGGGCCTACCATTAGTCCTCCACTAACCTGCTGAAGACAGCTCTGCATAAGCACTTTGCGGTGAAATAGGTGTGCAGAAGAGTGACAACCTTGTTGTAGTGGCTTTGTGAGACTCAACCCACTGTGGACCCCGTGTTCGTGTGGTAGAAACGCTGAAATGCTGGCACTGGTTTCAGGACACATAAGCAAATTCTTGGTGCCATGTGGGTTTCTTGGCGGGCTATGGGGCAGCGATGTCCGAACGTACGCGTTGAGCTGGCTTAGAGGCTGGAGGCTTATTTATTGCTCAGCCAACCTGTTCTAACGCAGTCTGTCCTCAATTTTAGGGCAGCATTTCATTTCCTTCCCTCGCCATGAGGAAGAGCATCTCCAGCGGACTGTGAGCTGGCACCCTTGCCTGCTGATTCTTGGCCAGAACTGCAGTGCCAAATGCCAGCTACTCAACATCCTGCTGGGCGAGAAGCTGCTCCCCACCACCAAAATCAGCAACGAGGAGAACTGCAAGCGGCGGCGGATCCGCTTCACGCACGGCGCGCACACGCGGGTCAGCCTGGCGCTGCCTGAGCAGTACGAACTGGTCCACATGATGGCAGCCCACCGGGGGCACTGGGACACGATACCAGAGGAGGACCTAGAAATTCATGGGGACAGCGAAGATCCCGCTCACCGGATAGCGGAGCTGGAGGTCATGCTGCCGTACTCACTACTAAAGGTAACGGCGTCCACGTACCATCGTTGTAGTGAGCTTGAGATACAACATCGATAGTGCCTGATAAAGCTAATGGTGTAAACTCTCAAACATATGCTTTATTTGTTAATTAAAGAGAAGCTGGAAGTCCAGTATTAGGATTTTAATCAACATCGCTGTCTATGCTTGTGTGCTTTTGTTTAAATGTTGACTCTTAGGGTTATCACTCCATTCTAATGTTGCTGTCCATCCCTGAAGCCAGGCTCACTCAGATGTGACTCCAAGTGTCTTCTAAGACTTTTCTGCGGTTTCAAGGTCATTCAGAGTTGGCTTTGCTATCTGATAGCAGCTGGAAGCTGTCACACAAGAGTATGTACCTTTTTATCTCTGTCTTGAAAAGCTTGTGTCAGGAAAAAAGCTGCTTAATTCCAGCATCTGATAAAACAACCCGACTTCATTCGAGCATTTTACATTTCTGAGGTGTCAACGGCAGTGGAAGGTGTTGGGAACAAGAAGGTGGGAGCCTGTTCTCACAGTGCTGTTAGTGTCTCACTTTGCCAGCTTCCCTTCTTGTCCATTAAATGCGCTCCTTTCCTGCAAGTGTTGCAGTTTGGCGTTTAGCAAATATCTTCAAAGGTGAGAGTTGTATTTCATAGCCTCTTACAGCTTCCATAAGCTTTCGTTGCAGTTTGTGTCTTATCTTTGTATCGCAGTGTAATACTTCTAGAGCATTGTGTTATGGCAGTCAAAGAGCTGGAATAGATTATTTATTCTTAAATACAAATTACTTAAGTGCAAAGACTCTGATCTGTTGTCACATGAGTATGAACATTACAGTTAAACAGTAAAGGATCATGGTAAGTTTTTCTGGACATAGGAATTGAGACACGATTGTCAATAGGCAGAAAATGGAGACCCACTCTGTTTTCATCCATTTGAGTTACATTTTATGAACCCGGTCCGAATTTCAGCCTATCCTGACGGGATCAGCCCAGTCAGTGCGATGTTGTGGTGTGGCTGTGGCTTCCAGGCTCCGCTGCGAGAGGACACAAGTGCCGTGTTTGTGTAAACTGTGTGGGGCATCCACTGCTTTCCCAAGGAGCACCAGATCAGCTGCTGGTGCTGCAAAGCAAATGCCTGTTCTGGCTCTTCTGCCTGGAAAATCCTGCCTTGCGATGCATAAAAGAGTATTTAGCTTTACATTTACTTTATTTGGTGACGTTTTCATACGGGCCGGTTTAGGCACGCTGCAGTTTACAACCCTCTTTCAGATTTCTGATGCGGGTGACAAAGATCTCTCTGTCTGCCCTTGGGTGTATTTAGGACACTAAGATGAAAACAGCTACTCAGATGAGTTTGAAAAGGGTTGGCGAAATGAAATAGGAGGAGGGAGGGTGAATCACAGCTTCACGCAGAGTCAAAGGATTCCTCAGAGGAGTTCGAAGGGCTGAAGGAAGAACAAAATGTTTTTAAGGCAGATAGAAGAACCTAATGTGTTTTAGCAGGAAATGGGGCTAGGGATGGCTTCCTGTTAAAACACAGGACGCTGACCTCCTGAGGTGGGTTTTCCACCCTTCAAGCCATTGTGTGTTCCCCAGCTCTGCTCGGTGTGCCCCAGGACAACAGAGTTCTCACAGGAAGTATCTGCTGTCGTGGACAGAGCTTGTGTAGCTGGAGGAGAATCCACTTGGAGCAGCCATGGACAGCTCTTCTGGAAGTAGTGTGTCCACCTGGAGCGGCCATGGATGAGGGTTTTTGGACACTACCCAAAGCTGCATCTCTGCAGAGCTGCCCTGGAGGAACTTCTGCTTTTCCTTGGCTTGTGAGACAAAACTGACAGTCTAATAATAATTGTGTGCTTGACAATAACTCAGTGATACTCAGTGATAACATGATATTCAGACCTTAAGGATTTAGATTTTCCCAGAAATCAAACAATTTGGAGGAGCTCAGCACCTTCTGGACAGAGAAGGGGGAAAATCAATCTGAGTTTTGCCTCACGTGTTACCCAGCCTCTTTCTTTAGTCTGGGTGATCTCCAGGATGGGGCCGTGCTTGCTGTTCTGTTCCTGAAGGATGTCTTATCCAAAACTTGTCTCACTGAAAAGGGGGCGAGCCAAAAATCTCCTTTGCATGGGTCAGTTGCTATGAGAACGCTGCCTCGTGCCAATAGCTATGTGAACCTGGTGGGTTTTTTTACACAAGTTATCAGGGAAGGAAAAACTTTGGAAAAGCTGCTCTATTCCCTGGGGATCACTGTGGTCAGGAATGCGTGTAGGTCACGGGGAATAATCCATCTGGCCAGACAGATTATTAGATTTATAGTGGGAGTAAACAGTTGGCTCTTGTCCTAAATCTTATCAGTTGTGCCCGGAGGCCAAAGTGGACCTCTCTGAAGTGCTGGGTTTCATCTGGATGGTGCAGCTGAACGGGAGGAGGCACACGGAGCTGAAAGCTCCTTCTCTGTGCTTTCGTCTTGCTGTGTGCTTCGTGGGGCTTTGAGTCTCGGGCTGGAAAGTTTTAGGCTTGCAGGGAAAGGGAAGTTTTCAGCTGCTCTGACAAAGCTGGAAAATGAGAATGAAGAAATAGAGGATGGGTCTGCGAGCCCTGACAGAACTGAACCCGTTTGGGTTTATTGTTGCGTTTCTCCAGGTGCTATAGCAGTGATTCAGGTCATTTGAATTAGTAGTTGTTAAAAGCAGCAAACTACCTATTGGGTGGTTAATTATTGTACATCCTGCTTAAAACATGAAGAACGTGCTCTTATCTCCTTCTTGAGAGTATTTTGAATGCGTTTGGCTGTGCCATTAATAGAGAAAACTGAAGAGCTTTTGTGCTGGCCGAGACCCTTCCAGGTGGCATTGGGTTTACTTTGGGCTGTGCTGGGTGCTCCTGCCATGCACCAGCATCAAACACCCAAAATCTTCTCCCTCTGCCCCTTCACGCTGGTGTAGCTGTGCATAGAAGGTACTGCAGATGCTGGCACCATGACATTACTCTTCCATCCATGTGAAATCTGTCCTCTCTCCAGTTTTGCTTGGTGATGTGTCTGTTACAGGGGAAGAGTCCACGGTCAGAAAAAGAGCCTTGCTTCTCAGAATGTGTGTGTGTACATCTCACAGGCTTTCTTGGGCTTCCAGCAAAGGCAAAACAGCATTTCCTGATGAAGGGGGGCTCAGTCATTACAAAAAATCACAGTAATTATGTCCTATAAAGGACAGCAGCGTTTGCAGACCAGAGGCGTGGTTCAGTTTTCCTACCTGGGATTCTCTCTCATCTGGAATTATCGGATTTCTGACTCGGATTTCCATGGAAACAGCGTAAGCTGGCAAGATTTCAGGGGAAAAATGGAGGGGGATGTATGTAAGAAAAGTTCTAGGGGTATGTATATGTACCTCAGATTAATGGGGAGGCAATGAAATCAGATCACGTGTGATAAACCCAGTAACTGTCAGACTTAGTGATTCACAGGCTATTCTTGGAAGGCAGAGTATTCAAATTGGCTCTGAAAAAGGCTGAGCTGGGCCTGCAGTCGTAATCCGCTTGGTAGGAGTTTGGGTAAAGATCTGGATAATTGGGTTAGCTTCTCAGCACCTCGGTTAACTGAGCAAACAGTGATTACACTGCCCGAAGCCTGGCGAAATAGGACAGGGCCCTCTTGGGATGTAGAAAATAAATGCTTTTTAACTGATTTGGAAGTGAGGAATTATCCGTTGACTTGGTGAAACGGCCCACTCGAGTGCTCCCTGGATGCGCTCAGTGAGGCTCTCCTGGTCTCGCTGTAGTTGAAGACCGTGATCCTTGACTTTAATTTGTGTTCTGGCTGTGGGATGCAGCGGCCATCCTGGCATTGCAAGTCCATCGAGGCACACAGTGTTTCTGCACGGCGTTCCCTTTAAACTGGCGTTTCTGTATTGCTGCCAGCAGCACCCGTGCATCACTTTAAGTGGAAGAGCTGTAACTGGTGTTTGCATACCTGGTGTTCAGGTCGCTAAGTGGGAAGCTCTGATATATTAAAGAGGGCTTTTTAGTTGAGGAAAACGTGAATGAAGTAACTTGACAGCAGTTTCATGTGCAGCTCTGTCAGAGGTGTTCAAGTGTGTGTAGCAGTGTGACCTTGTGAGAAAAGGAATGTCAGGAATCCAGTGTGAGTCACAGCTGCTCCCCATACAGCAAGACTTAATTCCTAATAGCGTGAAGCTGTAAAGTTCTGTAGGACATCTTAAAAAGAAAGGTAAGTAATGTTGCTGGTGCTCTTTGGAAAAGCCTGAGAGGCCTCTCTGAACCAGCAGGACCCGTTGCTCATGCTGTATTTGGTGGCCTGTGCTGGTTTCCTCCCGTCTCCTAGAGACAGCGCTGGCTTCCTCCTTTGTTTGCAGTGGCCGGCGTGAGTCACGTCCTGGTGAGCGCTGCGGCACCGCACACCCCGCTCTGCCCGGGCTCCCGGGCACCAGGAAGGTTTGGGTTCAGCGCTGGGGAGTCCCGTGGCTGGAGCGACTTCCTCTTGGCTCTGAGGGCAGCTGCGAGACGTGGCCAAGTGGTTCATTTTTCTGGTGGAGAGAAAAATGATGGAAGAATTCTTAGTTATTGCTCTCTGTTATGAGTTGGGAAGGTGACGCTTGCATTCTGTCTTCAGTTCAAAGCCTTTGACGTTTTCTTGCCTTACTTCAGTAGAGTGATCCATGCAAAGGATGGTGAGAGGTCTGGAGAACAAGCCTGATGAGGAGCAGCTGAGGGAACTGGGCTTGTGTAGCCTGGAGAAGAGAAGGCTGAGGGGAGACCTCATCCCCACCTCCAACTGCCTCAAGGGAGCTTGTAGAGAGGTGGGTGCTGGGCTCTTCTCCCAGGTGATGGGGGATAGAACAAGGGGAAACGGCACCAAGCTGTGCCAAGGGAGGTTCAGGTTAGAGATAAGGAGGAAGTTCTTGACTGAGAGGGTCGTCAGAAGCTGGACCAGGCTGCCCAGGGAGGTGGTGGAGTCACCATCCCTGGATGTGTTTAAAGAGCGGGTAGACGAGGTACTTAGGGATATGGTTTAGGGGGTAGACAGGAACGGTTGGACATGATGATCTCAGAGGGCTTTTCCAACCGAGCGATTCTGTGACTCTGTAATTCTATCGCTGTTCTTGCATCGTGAGTCTTGTCCTTGGAAGGGAAGGCAGCAGTTGCAGAACTGGCCCTTTTTAGTAGGGTTATTAAGGAGTGGTGCCAGCAGGAGCATATGACTGGAGCAGTGAAATTCTGCGCAGTAAGAACATAAGTAAATAAAACACATCTCTTCTGGTTGGATTTGAAGAAAGTCTCAACTGAGCTTGCCTCAGCCATCTGTTCTTCCTTGCCTGTTCTTTGGCTGTGACTGTTTGGGATCGGTGGCTGTGCTGCCTTTGTCTTGGCAGCAGTGATTCGTGCGGTACTCTGTGTCACTGAACAGTGACAGCAGGAACAGCTCCTCCACGAGCTGCAGGTCTGGCCACCATCAGCGGGAGAGGTTGGTGCAAAATGGGACAGCTATGAGCTAAAGAGTAACAGCTCTTCTGCCATGCCCCTTACCTGGGAAGGTCGTTCTGAGTTTTGTTCTGAACTGGGCTAAAACTCCCCAGCACTTGATGCCAAATGGGAGTTCTGGAGTCGGTGGGCACTGATCCATGTCTGGCTGTGAGAGAGCTGGCATCAGCCTTGGAGGTAGGTGATGTACTAAAGCGTGATGCTGTTATGTGAGACTCTGGCTGTTCTGAAGGGTTTCTGGCCTTGCTCTTTGAAGGAATTGCAGAGTGTTTTAGCATGCGCCAGTTTTTACAGGATCGGTGCAAACCATCATTTGTTTTACCTGCCAGGAAGTGGATGTTGTGGTAGCTCCGTGCCGTGGATTCCAGTCTGCTGAGGCCACCTTGGGAGAGTACGTGAACCAGGTCCTGCCTGTCGTCGTCTTCGCCATCAGCGAGGCTGAGCTTTCTTCATCGGACGAGAACGAACTGCGAGAAATCAAAGAGAAATTCTCTTTGCCCATTTTCTTCTTCAAAGTGCCAGAGTCGGGGGCGGAGCTGATCTCTCCCAAAAAAACTGCGAATGAGAAGTCCTCCCTTTACTGCCAGCTGATGGACCTGGAGTACCTGAGTACCAACCACTGCGGCTGCGGGGCGCACGGCCCCGATGCCGATGCCCAGAGCGTGCTGGTGGAGCACTTTGAGAAGCTCCGTCTCCTCAGCACGTTCGCCAGGCAGGTGCTTCAGAAGCATCTGGTGGAAGCGGCCACCAGTCTCAGCGAGCTGCACTGCCGCTGCCTCAACATCTTCATCAACCAGGCCTTCGACATGCAGCGGGACCTGCAGATCACCCCCAAGCGGCTGGAGTACACCCGCAAGAAGGAGAATGAGCTCTACGAGTCCCTGATGAACATCGCCAACCGCAAACAGGAGGAGATGAAGGACATGATCGTGGAGACTCTCGGCAACATGAAAGAGGAGCTCTTGGAGGATGCTGCCAACATGGAATTCAAAGGTAAATAAAATACAGGCAGGGGAGTGATGGGCGTGAGGAGGTTGGGGGCTGCGGAGGGGAGCTGTGGAGTATTTGCTGTCTGAGGGGTGGTCGAATGGCGATCTGGGTAAGGGGCTTTGTAAGGAAAATCAATTAATTCACAAAGGGTTTTGCTGTAGTACCTCTGGGTAAAAGCAGCGTCATTAAATAGAGGCTTGAACATGTGAAGTCTTAATTTCTGATAAGTCAGGCTTTTTGCCCCAGAGCTTGCTGCACAGTTCTGGTTTAGGGTATTTTACGTCTCTGCTTTAATTCCCTCCTCTGCTGAAGAAGAAAATAACTCTCCACTTTGCCTCAGTGCATGTGTTGAGACTTGGGAATAAATCTGTCCTAAGAAAAAAGCTGTTTGAGTTTTAGCTGTGAAGGCTTGAATTTTACATTCTGCTTGCTTGCTTTATCTGAGAGAGGTTTTGTAAGATTTGGGTATGGAGCCTTCTGAAGTGAAATCCTTCTGGGTAGGCAAGGTTTTCCTTTTGAGAAACACCAGCACAATGTACTGCGCTCCCGAGGCCCACGCGTGGCAGTCAGTGTGTGGTTTTGGGAGGTGTGGGAACTCCCACTGCATCCTCTGGTACCAGAACTTCCAGGAACAGCAGGCTGGATGGTGAACACCACGCGGGATGATGTGTAAGCTACAGCTCTCCAAGTTCTGCCTGTGTTGTCTGTCACGAGCATCACAGTGAAGATTTGTGGGTTGATGCTCCACAGGTTTTCTCCTCTTCTTGCTAAGCAGAGGTTTACTATAACAATCCTTTCTGTTCTAAGGAAATGCAATTCACTGGGTTTATGGAGGAAGATTTTTCTATTTAAATTAAAATCAAATAACTCTAGGCTATTGGCTTAGAAGAAATGTGTTGTGAATTGAGTGCTTTCTGAGGCCAAAACTCTTGATAATTTTGTTTGTCTTGACTGACTTCCTCCCAGTTTCAAATGATTTCTGAGTCCAGGGCTGTGTGTGCAGGAGGATGTTTAGGGGCAGTACAAGGTAAAACACCTGCAGTAAACATGTCTATGTGTTTATTTGCACAACAAACATCACTTGGAGTGTCGCATCTTGTGGGCTATCGGTATTTGAAGCGATATCCTAAAAGGAAGGTGTCATTTTGAGGAGCTAATGCCATCTGCCGATCTTGGATTGGTTTTAAGTAAGCTGGACTGGTGTTGGCCAAAATCCAGAGACGAGGTCTTTAGCTCCTGGGGGTAACGTTGTGTTGCTCGGAGTGGTTATGGTGTGTGAGCAGTGAGTGCTTACGGCTTGTCTGAAAACACCACGTGGGGATCAACCTTTCCAGGTAGCAGGGAGAAACTTCCCTGTAACCAGCGCGGCTGCTCCATCTCTTTCCTCACAACATTCACCATCCAGCGGTGCGTGGATCACAGCGTGGCCGTTCCCTGAGCTGTGCTTCTTTAGGTAGAAAGTTCTTTGTGCTTCTGCCCCTTAATTTTTGAGGTGATTGTTGACTTGTCGTCACCGCACCCTGTAGACCCGTAGTAGCTGTGAAATGCTCGTGTGGAGTCCATCAGGTGCTGTGGCTCCTCTGCAACACCCTCAGAGCAGCTCTGAGTAGCCCTTGCTGCAGCAGTGATGTGCAGAGCACAAAAGGTGCCTCTTTCTTTCCTCTTATGCAGATATCATCATTCCCGAGAATGGGGAGCCTGTTAGCTCCAAGGACATCAAGTGTTGCATTAAGCAAATTCAGGAACTGATCATTTCTCGCTTGAACCAAGCGGTCGCCAACAAGTTGATTAGCTCAGTGGATTACCTGCGAGAGAGCTTTGTGGGGACTCTGGAGCGGTGCCTGAAGAGCCTGGAGGAGTCTTGGGAGGTCTCAGTGCATCCTGCGAGGAGTTTGGAGAAGTCAAAGGATGCTTCTGTACACATCACAAGCAATTATCTCAAACAGGTATGGTGGCCGGAACGGCTGTCTAGAATATCCTTAATTGTCATTATCCTGATCCAGGAAAGAGGGGAGGAGGCTGAGATGCTCAGTGAAATTAGAGGAACACAGCTCTGGAGTATGTGTGGGTCTGGTGTCATTAAAGGAGGTGCTAAAACTGAGGAACAGTCGCTTAAAGTCGTACTTGTCCTTCCTAAATCTGTGCAAAGTGACCAAATCACAGCCCAGAAACACCTATGAGCTTAACACCACAAGTGAATCAAGCCAAACTAATCATGGAACATCCACGAAGCGTCCTTTTTGTCATTTTCAGAGTCTAGCAAACTTTATAGTGACCGCAGCTTGCAAAGTTCCCATCCTCTCATCTTTCCCCTTGCAGATACTCAACGCAGCCTATCACGTCGAGGTCACCTTCCACTCTGGCTCCACGGTAACCAGGATGCTGTGGGAGCAGATCAAGCAGGTATGGGCATCTTCAGCATTCATTTCTAGCACGTGTCACTGTGCAGTGAAAGGGTTTTGGTGTGAGTACTCACAGCTGCCCTCTCAGCTTTGGCTCTAGGCACATGCACCCCAAAGCTGGTGCTCCCTCACTCAGCACTGAGGCTGTGTGTGTAGATTATTCCTGGGGATGCTAATACTTCATTTAAAGCAAATACCTCTTTAGTGTTTTCTTCCTGTTCTGAACCAGCAAAAGAACTGTGAGCAGTGTGTTGAAACTCCTGTTGTTTGTTGTGGGTAACTGGTGGTTTGTTTGGGCTTGGGGGTTTCTTGTGGGTTTTTTGTTTGCTTGTCTTGCAGTGTAGGTCAATTTATTCTCCCTCCACAGCAGACCAGGTTTCCTCAGATCTTTCTTGTAAATTTCTGTCTGTTAAAGCATTTGTTTTTCTGAAGCTCCTGCTCGGAGCTGCTGATGACCTTTGCTGCCTTCTCCTTGAGATTCCCTGTATGGATATGAGAGGAATAGGAGGTTTCTTCCCAAATAGGTGCAAGTGCAGACTGAGTGGTAACAAATCTTCAGGTCCCTCCTCAGCCCAGGAGCAGGATCCAGGCTGGGTGTGCAGCAGCGAGATCTGTGGCTTCTAATAGAGGGTGGAGCAGGGTGTGTTAATCACCCCCAGTTCAAGGGAAGTGGTGGACATGGACATTATGCCTGGGTCTTGTCAGATGTGGAGTTGGTTGGCTTGTAGGAATGCACTGAGCAAATATTCAGGAAAAATCAAATCTCTTATATAATGTGTGTTTACACACGTTATCATCACAACAATATTGTGGCAATGCCTCTAAATTGCTAGCAGTTACCGTAATGTAATTCTTTAGCCCAATTCTTTGTGCAGATGACTGCATTAGTACACGGTGTCTGAGCAGTCTGAATAGATGGACTGACTCTGCTTTTTCTTTGTGCTAGTGCCCTAATTCTGCTGCCTGTTTTACCAGATAATCCAGCGGATTACGTGGGTCAGCCCACCTGCCATCACCAGTGACTGGAAGAGGAAAGTTGCTCAGGATGCCATCGAGAGCCTCAGTGCATCCAAGTTGGCCAAGAGCATTTGCAGCCAGTTCCGGACCAGGCTGAACAGTTCCCATGAGGCTTTTGCAGCTTCTCTGCGACAGGTGAGTGTGGGGAGCTGTTAAGGAAGTCCTGTTTTGTATGTGGTCAGGCATGGAAAGAGGATTTTTAGTGGCAGAGATGTCTAAAAGAGCAGCTCGTGCAGTCAGTGCTGCCATTCTGTAGGTGGAGGTGGCAGAGCTGATGCAGGTGCCCTAGCACAAGGTCCCAGCTTTAAGTAGGATCTCTGCTCAGCTGTGCAAGAGCCCACAGCCTCGTTACACCAAATCCAGGCAGGATTGCAGTGTGTGTTTGATCTCTTGCAGCTGGAAGACGGCCATTCTGGCAGGCTGGAGAAGACAGAAGATCTGTGGCTGAAGGTGCGCAAGGATCATGCTCCTCGGCTGGCACGACTCTCTCTGGAGAGCAGGTCCCTCCAGGATGTGCTGTTACATGGTGAGCATCGTGCCTGCTGTTCTCTCTATTATCTTCTTGCTCCTTCTGAAGCAGTCAGTGGGTGTAAAGGAGTAGGAGGGGTGTTTTGCTTTTCACTCAACTCCTTCAGTGAGCCTTTATCTGACACATACCGAGTACCTCGCATCGTGCAGCTCTGGCCCGTGCACAGCTCTGTGCTGCCAGATAGCGTATGGGGAGAGATAAACACATTCTCATGTCTGACTAAATGGATGTTGTGCCTTGCAGGCAAACCAAAGCTGGGCCGAGAGCTGGGCCGAGGACAGTACGGCGTGGTCTATCTGTGTGACAGCTGGGGAGGGCATTTCCCCTGTGCACTGAAATCTGTTGTTCCTCCGGATGAGAAGCACTGGAATGACCTTGCACTCGAGTTTCACTACATGAGGTGTGTATCGTAAGTGCTTTTCTCGTTCCACATGGGTGTCCTTAACTTCACTGCTGCAAACAAATGCTATTTGTGTTTGTGTGGGCAGAACCTTGCCGTGGTTTTACTCTGCAGTCGGGGACTTGACCTCATGAAATGCTAAGCTGCCATTTCTGGTGAAGGCAAGACAGGCACAGAACGGTTGGCAGATATGCTCCTTCCTGCCTTAATCTGATTCTCTGGTGTCTGTGCTGTTAAAACGCTTGCTGTTTTGCAGAGTAAATTAGAATTAATAGGGTATGATAGCAAATGGTTCTCCCCTGACTTTTGGTGTTGAATCATCCCTCCTTTCCCAATTTTTGTCCTGTCTGAATTAAAAATAGCAAATGATGGTTCTGTACTGCAGAAAAGAGCTCGTTTGCAGTAAACAGCTGCAGGCAGGTGCTGCAGTACAGACATCTGAAATATACGGTATTTCTTTGGTACTCTAACCTTTGATAGGCTTTCTTGAGTTAAATTGGCTCAGACCGCTGTACATTGTTGTGGTCCTCAGAACTGTGGGAGCTGTGAATTTTTACTGTATCTGTTGTGCTACAGCTGCACCTATTGGGCACTTTTCCTTCCCGAGGTGAGGTTTGGCCTGGGGTGGAGGGGAGGATACAGAAATGACCATTTTTCTGTGCTGACCTTTCTCTAGGTCTCTGCAGACGCACGAGCGGCTCGTTCATCTCCATGGGTCTGTGATAGATTATGGCTATGGAGGAGGCTCCAGCATTGCCGTCTTGCTGATAATGGAACGCTTACACAGAGACCTCTATACAGGACTAAAGGTAACAACAGTCTGTGTGCAGGTGTATATACATGTATTTATATATACACATTAAAAGAATCTATACCCAAATATGTATTAATCTGCAAAACAAAGCTAGAATTGCTTCTTTTTCAATGGTTTTGGCAAATAAGGGTAAGCAAAAGTAACTTGCACTTGTAGGAATTCAATCTGTCTGTCTTTATTCCTCAGGCTGGGCTGGAGTTGGAAACACGATTACAAATCGCCTTGGATGTGGTCGAAGGAATCCGTTATCTTCACAGCCAGGGACTTGTGCACCGGGATATCAAACTGAAAAATGTCTTGGTGAGGAGGACTTTTGTGTCGGGCTAATCCTGAAGTGTTACGAGAGGGTTAAGTACGCTGTGAGGCAAGCAATGGCTTTCTTCATAGAGGGTCTTTGAACTCGTGGTGCTGTTGGCCACAAGGAGCCCAGCAGTGAGGTTTCCCTAACGCATTTCAGACAAAGCCTGGGGGAAAGGGGGCAGTGCAGTGATTTCTCTTGAAGGGAGAGAGCTTGAGCAATGAGCAGGGCTTGCAGTCCAGTTAAACCCAAACCTCACCCTCTGCAGAAGCCAAGTGAAGGTGTATCTTGTCACTGAGCTTAACTAAGGAAATGTCCAAGAGCAGCCAAGTAGAGAAGCTTCCTTAAGAACAAATGCCCAAACCTTCAAACATAACCAGAGTTGAAAGCCTTAATATTACAATGCAATTCTACAACTGAGAAGTACGGTTACCAGCTGCCTGTGCATGAATTCTTCTGCAGCTGGACAAAAAAAGCCGAGCCAAAATCACCGACCTGGGGTTCTGCAAACCAGAAGCCATGATGTCTGGCAGTATCGTGGGCACACCCATTCACATGGCTCCTGAGCTCTTTACAGGTACGCTTCTTAACTGAAAATCCCCTGTTCTGTCTCACTCTGCCTTGACTTTTGCGTAGTATTTGAATGGAGTTTGATCGTGTCTCAAATGTTGATGTTAAAGTCTCTGCAGTGGACCTGAGCACCTGCACCTGCAGTGGTCCATGAACCTCAGCTGGGGTATGAGCGTGTAAAGTGTAGAAATCCTCTGGGAATGGAAGGCCTGAGCTCTTATCCCTCCACCCTTTGGCATGACTCCTGATACGTTCATGAGCTTCATGAGCTTCATGCAAGTCTCGCCTTCTGCATTGAAGTTGTGGTTTAAATCTGGGAGAGTAGCATACTGAAGTTAGCTCTCAGACCGCTCCGTTTCCAGTGATGAAGATGTTGTTTGCCCCGCTGATCAAATGTATTTTTGTCACAGGAAAGTACGATAACTCGGTGGATGTTTACGCATTTGGCATTCTGTTTTGGTACATCTGTTCGGGACACGTGAAGTTACCAGAGGCTTTTGAGAGATGTGCAAGCAAAGATCACCTTTGGAACAATGTCAGAAGAGGTACAAATGGCTTATTTGAACCCTCTTGGTTCATACTTTGTGCTTGAGTAAGATTTGAGAGATGAGGAAATCCATTGTTACCCTCTTGTAACCGAAAGGTGAAAACACAACTTGTAGTGCTTCATTGGCAGCCTAAAGAGTAACACTCACCTACTTAAACCTGGATATATTCTACTGGAAAGCTAACTGAAGTCAGCAGGGATAGAAAAAGGCTTTCAGTTAACCACCTCTTTGCCATAGCATCACAGGAGCTGTGCTAGCACACCGCTAAAACCATGCGAAGTAACACAGCATTGCTGGTGTAAACCAGACCCAGAGGTGGCCTGGCATGATCCCCTAAAGAATGTTTAATCCCATGCAATTTCTGGAGCCTGTAGGGATGTGTACATTCAAGTGCTTGACATGCAGCATGCTGGGCAAGCTGGATGTTGAGTAAATCAGGTTTTACTCAAAGTACAAACTTGCTCTTACGGCAGCGTAGGTTTAGTGTAGTGCTGTGGTTAGTGATAGCTTAATCCTCCACGCTGTGTCGTGGTATCAGAATGCTTTACTATTTTGTGTCCTTAGTTTGTCTGTGTAATCTCCCCCCTTGTCATGTGGAAAAGATTAACTCAGACGAGCGAGTCTTGCATGTGGTCAGAAGGCTGCGCTCGCTGCTTGTTCGCAGGGGGAACTTGCTCCCAAAGGCACCGTTATGAGCAAGGGTGGGGAAAACTTGTTTTCTTATAGGGAAGGGTACTCATTTTGTTCCCAAATAGCTGCAAAGAGAAGGCTGCAGTGAAACCAAATGCTTGGCCATCCTCTGGGAGTGTGCATGGTCTCCTGAGCAACTTCAGCAACGCTCCCAAAGATGGCTCGGGAGCCTTTACCAAGAGCATCAGACCCCAAACAGTCCACTTGGTCACTTCAGCCTGCACCAAAGTAAGGAGCCAAAGCTCCTCTCAGATTTGATTTACCAGTGGTAACCAGATCCCTCTGTGTTTGCCAGGGGTCCGGCCGGAGCGTCTCCCGGTGTTTGACGAGGAGTGCTGGCAGCTGATGGAAGCCTGCTGGGACGGAGACTCCTCGCAGCGCCCGCTCCTGGGGATCGTTCAGCCAATGCTGCAGGGGATCATGGACAGGCTTTGCAAGTCGAGCTCTGAGCACCCACATAAAGGCTTGGATGACTCCACTTGAAAAGGAAACACAGGAGTTTTTAACTGTGGGAGAATCCTGAACCCCTGACTCTGCAGATGGCTTCGTCAGATGTAGCTCTTGAGGCTAACGTGAGCGGGACAGGTTATGGCAACCAGAAGATTGCTCGTAGAGGTGAGACCTTGGGGATGTTCCACCTTGAATAGCGGCCAGAGAAGTCTCCCCCGGCACACCCCACTGATGCCAGTTACCCCTCTGCAACTTTTACCATGGAGCTGTGCAAATAAGATAGGAAATCCACGCCCTTGAACCAAAAGGGATATTTTTGCCAATCCCACACGAACACCAATCAAAGCAAAACATCTTGTGTGTTTCAGGTAGCGTCTGCATTGCTAGGAGTTGATCACGAGAGCCTTTACTCAGTAAAGGAAAAGCTCTTCCCATTAAGTGATGGTCCTAGGTGGCCTTTGGTCACACACAACTGTCCCCATCGCTTATCGATCGGCACCGATCACAGTGCGGTCGCAGAGGAAGGAGGAAGCAGAGGCTCTGGGCTAGGAAGTGTTTAGAAGCTGAGAGCATCTGTGTCTGTACTGGCTTCTTGCAACACTCAAAATGTTTACATTGACAGGAGCAAAGCTCCCACGTTTTACCTAAGGGGGTTTTTCTGCTGTTCCACTGCAGTGCAAATACCCCAGTTATAAGCTATTTATCTCCTACGTACCCTTCACCTCTTTTGTCTGTAAACAAGCTCTTTTTCTGCTCATTGTGCTTCATAACAGCTATTTGAATGTCTGAAGAAACCTGACCTTTCTTACGCAGTCTTTGAAATGGAAGACTGCTCAGAGATTACATGGTAATACCAAACCAAAGTCATTACAACTAATGACTGTCCCTGGGGAAAATGCCAGTTCATTTTAACTAAATTTGGGGTTTGAATTAGTTGTAAGGGCAATGACAGTTTTAAATTGTGCTAACTACGACAGACTTATTTTAAAAACATAAGGTTTCTTAATCTCTTTTTTAAAGCCACGTGCTTGGTGAGGGGATACTGGAGGGAAAGAAAACTGGTCAGTCGTTCTTCGGTGGCTGTGCTGTGGCTGTGTCTGCTCATCTGATGGCTTCACGGTGGGGAATCTGGCTCTAGTGGAAAGAGGGAAAATGGGGGGAGGTTGGGGAAATCCTTAGCAAGGAAAGTAGGGGCTGGGGTGGACCCGCTGCCCTTCCCAAAAGGGCTGCTCCCAAAAATAACAGCCTTGCCTTCTGCATTTCTGGGGCAGGGCTGTTTGGTCTTAGCGTAACGTAGCTGTGGGGTGGAGGCTGGAATAGAAAATGCACCTTGTTTACTGCTCCACGAGGAAACCCCAAGTTGGCAAGTTCTCCCTGGGTTTACTGTTCCTCCCCGCTGCAGGGGACGGGCACACAGAGGCTTTGTTTCCCAGGAAAGCTGGCGTGCTGCATCCAGCAGCGTGGGGATTGATTGCCAGGACGTGGCAAAATTACTCCCGATAGTCTGCCTGTTCAACAGCGTACACAAAGGAAAGGGACACATAACCCTGCAGTATTAGTTCAGTTTAAATCTTCCTTTCTTTGTGCAATAAACAGAATTAATGCTTTTTTTATATATATATATAGAAAAGACTTTTTTACTGATCTGCACGTGTAGGCATTTTCCTGGTCTGGTGGCATTAACAGTTGGGTTCTGTAGGCGCAGCCTCGCCCGCAGGGACCCAGAGCCACGACCGCGTCCCCAGAGCAGAACCTGGGGCGCTTCCTGCCTCACGCCTCCGGTGACACTAACACAGCATTAACTGTTCTGCTGGGCCTGGTGGTCAGTAACCTTCGTGAAACGAGGAGAGTCGAGGTCGATTGACAGAGGTAGCTTGTGTAAATAATAAACATATGAATAAAACTTAAATCTCTGTATATGCAATTCCAGAAATGTCTTGTATAGCTTTTCCTGTGTAGCCATCTCCAGACCCTCATCCCATGCCTTTTTATCGCTGTAGCTACCTTTATTTGTCTCGTTTCCATTCGGTTTGTCTTTTTGCATGTGCAGCACTGTAGATCTGCATCTTTTCCCCAGCTGCTCCTCTGCATTTCCTTTATTCTGTTGGGTATAAAGTCTGCCTGACTGAACTTGTTTGGAGCTATTCCACACACCCTGTTTATCTTTAGAACTGGTGTTCTCCCCCACCTTTAGAGCAAGGAAAACAAAGTGGATGACTGCTTTATTAAAAGATCCTGAGGAATGTAAACTGAAAGTGCTGAACAGGAACCCCTCTCCCAGCTAAGGCTGCCTGGATCCCCTCAGTTACTGAAGATGTTGGTTACTGTAGGTTTTGATGTTACAAAGGGGTAGTTACAGCTTGTGCCCTGTACAGTGTACCACAGAGAACCAGGTACTGTGCTGGTGTCTGGTGTATATGGCTACAAACCGGTACTGTAATCATGGCCACTTAAAACAAGCTAAATCTCCTGTAGGTCTGAAGTAGAAATCTAACATTATTTTGGACAAAAAGCTTTGTTTACAGAGGTCACTGGTGCGAGGTTTGAGGTTCATGTGCTGCCCTGGCAGTCCCTAGGTCATGGCAAGGTTTGAGTACAGCCTGGGAGCTGCCAGGAGCTTGCTCTGCCCAGTTTTAGGCTGTTCCTTCACACTACACTTGGGGTGAACTGGGAGGAAATGCACTCGCAGGTACGGGATGAGGGATGGTCCGAAGGGCTGCGCTGCCCAGCACTGATGCTGCTTTTGCCCCTGCAGGACCCTCCCTGTGTGTCCCGAAGCACCAGACACTCACCTTAATCGTTAGTTACACTAAATGCCTTGTTTGGGGACTGAAAAGCAGGGGTGATGTTTACCTGCCATCCCCATCCCACCCATAGGAGAGATTTGGGGAAGGGGAGAGCAGCCCCCACCTTCCCTGGACTTAGTAATTTTAGTTTAAGTTACATGAGTAACTGTAATGGTTTTTTTCAAAGCAGAACTGCCCTTTCCAGGAGAAAGCAGCCCTTCATCTGCTTCAGCCTCCCTCGGGGCTTTAAATTAAACTTAAAACCAAACACCAGCACTAAATGTTCTTACAGCGGCTCCGCCTGCTTGGCCGGGGCTCCGGCGTTATAGGAAAAATGTAACGAGCTTGCCGAGCGCGTACGAGAAAGTGCAATAACCGGAACGACCGAGCTCAACCGTTGTGTTTTATTATTATTATTGTTGTTGTTGTTATTGTTATTTTTTTGTATCCGACTCGCACGGTACTAACGCCCCCCCTCCCTCCCCGCACTCCGTGTGTTGTAAGAGACGCGACTGTGAGTTCCGCCCTCGCCTACCGGGGGCTGCACAATAAAGCTGCTGTGAACGGCCGCCCCTCGTGTTTCTTTTCCGCCGCTTTCGGTGCTTTTCGCCGCCGCCTCCGGTGCTTTCTCCGCCGCGCCCC